GGTTCCTAAGTTAAGTTAATAACTGATGACAGATACTGATCAATAGAAGATGACATTAGCTATAGCAAATTAATTAACCAAGGGAACAAAGCAAGTTATGCAATTGACCTTTGTACATACTCCGTATATGTATACACGCGAGATGTCGACGTGGTCGCTGCACAGTCAAAAAGAAAGTGTAGGGAGGGGAAAAGGACATGTCGCCGACAAAGCAAGTACATTGGCTGGTGAAGCCATGCATGCACGTCACCGGCCGAGACCCGGCCGGTAGCTGGCGATACGCGTGTAGCCCGTCGCTTGGGCACACGTACGTTAGAGACCCGGCTCGATCGACAGCTCAAAGCCGTGATGACTACTGATGAGCTATCGATCACATGCGTCAGACCGTTAGAGTTGGACATTCGCGTGCGTGCACGACTGACATCGATCGATCGGGTCGACGACCGACCAGCCATGAGTCATGCAGGGCTTCGATCGAGTCTTTGACACGACGCATGTACAGAGAGCGAGAACACTATCGGTCTTTAGAAAAACCAACTTCTATATGCTATATATACAAATTTAAACATAGTATGTTAATTATCAAACTCATGTACAAACATTACTTTTTATATACGAAGCTGGATGAAATATAGTCTCTTCATACTACCTCTGTCCTAAAATTTAGCTATATAAATCTGTATACACAGTTATGTCATACCCATACTAGATAAATGTATCCAATGTTGGGTGAATGACGAGTGGCCCTAAAGATAGGATTGGGTCCCACAATTCAGTCTTACCGCCATGATATAAGGCAAGAAACATGTATTGAGAGATTGAGTGAATGAAATGAATTGAATCTGATTTCCTCCTGCTGTTCTTCTTCTTCCTTTGCCCCCTTTCTGTTCTTCACCCGATTCCCCAATTTCTTCCCAAATTTTCTCGAGTTATCAGTGTATTCTGCTGCTAGTTTGTGTGATTCGATCCCTCACGAGCTTGGATCATAACAATTTGGTATCAGAGCCATTATGATCCGTTCTATTTCAGCCTGATCGGTAAAGCCAAAGGAAGGGTTGGTGTTCAGCTTGAGCGCCGTGATTCCAACCAAGGTTCGATCTACGAAGAGACGAGTGAAGATAGTGGTTATCATGCTGATGGAGACCGTCGCCAGTGACTCGCTGGACCAACAGAGGAAGGAGGCCATGTATGGCCGCATTTTGGCGAAGCTCGATGAGTTAGGGGCCAGATTGGATCATGCTATGGGCTCTCTATCCCCTTCCTCGGTACCTGCTACCCCGGTGGATTCCTTGGTATCAGTTTCAAGTCCAGGGGCAACCTCCAGTGTTGATTCCCAGAAGGTGTTCGATGAAATGCCAAGTAACAAGGAGCCAACCACAGCAAGTGTCCTTCACGTCACGATGAGCCATGTGCTCTATCCAGTGACCGCAGAGGTTCTTCTTCAGGTATTCAGTCCATATGGTGCAGAGGAAGTGCGTGTGTATAACCAGGGAACAATTCAAGTTGAGGCTTTCATTCTGTTCCGGCTGTGCCAAGATGCAACACGAGCTAGAGAAGCACTCCATGGGTGCTGCATTTACAATGGCTGTTGCTTCCTGGATGTCAAGTACATGCAATCATGCCCCAATGACATAATGTCGGTGGCGCCTGTGAGGTGTTTGTCAATATGCAACGGACATGGTACTAGTTTGCTGATGGCTGTGTCCACGGCATTGCCTAGCTCTGTGCCCATAACAACTTCTCTGGATGCCAGCTCTATCTCAAGTCCAACATATGTAAATGATGTTCCATCCAGCACCAAGCCCATTTCAGCCTCATTTTTCACAGAAAGGAAGGGCACAAGCCAACGTATCATAAAGTGGGTGTCACGAATTCGCGTCGCTCATCGCCCAATACGTTGGGCCATGAAGAAAAAAGAGGTGTATGTGCTCACTCATATTGGCGGCGTTTCATTGTTTGAGATGAATGAAAATGATCTAGTACACGAAACGTCTTACGAAAGCAATGAATCATCAGCTCTTGCATTTGTTGAAATGCCACAGAATATCAAGCTACCAGTGGAGCATCTCACCCCTTGGGTTCAAAATATGGTGCCAAACTCCATGGTCAATGTGGTTGTGTGCTGTGAGACCAGTGACATTCCAATGAGCATATGGTGTTTGTGTAGGCCACTATGGCGGGCTTGTTCATATAGCAATCAAATGCTTCAGGAGGTTTTTCCATGGAGTAGAGATGGGTTATGTCCCTGGAAATATGAAACAAAAGGTGATCAATTATTGCTTGACAAGATATTTCCCTGGCAAAGAAATGGTTTTAGTCCTGGAAACAAGAACCAACAATAGATATTCGAGCACTGCTTGTATAGATGTTTACATGCGGCAACCAAAAATCAGATTATGCAAGTTTCAAGCATTATGAGGATGGCTCTCATGACACTACAAACCATTGACTATCAAAACACCAAGATGTTATGGCAGAAAGAACCATGGCCTCCACCTTCTCAGTTTTTAGTTTATCCATTTTGGATAATTCTCGAGGTAACAGTACTTTCATGTCATTTGGATAGTTGCAGACCTGAGAAGAATGTTCAGATTGCTAGTCATTATCAAGTCAAATATGTCCCTGGCTATTGACCTGAGCATTTTGAGTTGGTCTCAAACCACTGTGCATGAACTAATTGTTACCAGAAGTACTTGTTATAGAGAAATTGTCCAATCATTCCACAATGTGATAAATCAGTACCTGAACCTGAAGATTGTCAGCAGGCCATGAGATCTAGGTATTTTCAACTCTATTGTCATGAATTACGCAAAAGAATTTGTTGGTGTTACAAGCTTCATCAGTTAGTGGGTTGTGAAAAAGAATTGGGCAGTTTATAAAGTAGCATTATTGGCTAAGAGGCAATGGAATTTTAGAACAAGGGAATTTGTTCTTTCATGGCAATCTGTCAAGGAAGTTCTGCTGCAGCTATTGGCACATATGTTGTAGTCGGTGCAAGTGCTGAAGTGCTATTACTTATTGGCTCTTTTAGAGACAATGACAAGATAATGCTACTCCCTGAAGACCTCCTTGATGCAAGGGCTGCTAAAATCTTTATCTTACCTTGGCCACCACCCCCATCAAGTCTGGAAATGCTATATATTGAGATCTGATGGGATTCCTGAATATCATCGACTTGATATGTAGGCAACTGCATTGGGAGCTTTGAAAGTATGTCATCAGTCCATAGGTGTCCTGGTGCCATGTTCTTTACTTGCATGTGCTTCTCATCAAGTGGAAATCAGGTCATCTAAACTTCTGCAAGAAAGTTGGTGCGTGTCCAAAGTCATCGATGCCACACTTAACTCTTGCTTGACCTCAAGCAAGTTTTTCTGGGGGCAGTAATGTCATACCCATACTAGATAAATGTATCTAGTGTTGGGTGAATGACGAATGGGCCCTAGAAATAGGATTGGGTCCCACAAGTCAGTCTTACCGCCACGATATAAGGCAAGAAACATGTATTGAGAGATTCAGTGAATGAAATGAATTAAATCTGATTTCCTCCTGCTGTTCTTCTTCTTCCTTTGCCCCCTGTCTGTTCTTCACCCGATTCCCCAATTTCTTCCTAAATTATCTCGAGTTATCAGTGTATTCTGCTGCTAGTTTGTGTGATTCGATCCCTCACAAGCTCAGGTCATAACAGTTTGTTTTAACTCATAGTTAAAAATACTTATATTTTAGTACGGAGAAAGTATATGTTATTCTACATTATGAAATGCCTTCTCTAAAAATTATACTAGGTTATATCATAGCGTATTATAGATTTGTTTATGTTAGTAGTGACTGAAGTAGCGATAAAACGAGACATGCATACGCCAGTGACTAGGTAGATGCATGCCGTGTCGCGCACCTGCGGCGTCTACGTCTTGGTAAGCAGGCAGGGGGAGATCGACCAACAGCTCGTACGTACGTGGGCTCGGTGTGGCAGCTCGTGGCGCGCGAACGTAGGAGTACGTAGTTGTAAGCATAGGATCCCGTGCCGCCCGTGTCTGTTCCGGTAGCTGTTTCTGCCGTTTGTTGCATGCATGTGCCAGGGCGCGCCGATGCATTGCAGGTACTACGTGCTTTGACCATAGGCTGCTAGCGGTAGTACTCCGTACTATACTGGCCTCTGAATCTGGCGGGGTCAGCATGAGTCCACGAGGTCTCGGCTCAGACAACGGGGTGGTAAGGTACGGTGACACTGGCACGAGCAGAGCAACGAACGCGGCCGCCACGGACTAGTACTACGGCTGCGACGGAGTGCGAGAGAAATGGACAAATTTTACGGGGAGGTGGCCGCGCAGGGCGCGGGGGGCGGGGGGGGGGGGGGGGGGGGTGGGGGTACGTGTCCATGCGCGCGGGACGAGAGACCGACCACACCGCTGCCGCCACGCGCGGTCTCGCCACGGCTTGCTCACGAGGGCCGCGCGCGCGGGTTGTGTGTGTTGGTGGCGCCGCGCACACGCGTCCCTCGCTCCTGGCGCGCGCGCCCATCGTCTGGTCGTCCGGTCCCCGCGCGCGTGTGTCCCTTCTGGCAGTGGCCGCCCGCCCCGGCTGGTTTCGTCGTTGTGCCGGCCGCGTCGAACCCTTTCCCATCGTTGTAACGAGCGTTTCGACTCGATCGAGGTCGTCGCGGCGGTGTACTACGTGGTAATAAATCAGTGTCAAAGCATGGGGAAAGCTAAGCTAGCGTGGGCCGCACCGTATTACTGGAGTGTTGGGCTGGGCGAGGCAACGCCACGGCACGGCACGGGCACGGCACAGGGCCGGCCGGGGTGGGTTCTGTACTTGTGTTGTGTGTGGTGGTGGGACCCAAGGACACCCGTCTGGGCCCCACGCCGTGGCACCACAGTGTGGGGCCCTCGCCCATAGATTCGCGTCGCGCTCTTGGCTTCTCTCTCTCCTCTTCTCTTTCTCTCCCCCCCCCCCCCCCGCCCCGCGGCGCCTCCTCCAACTATAAATAACCGCCTTCCTCCCCGCCTCCTCGACACACACCTCCCTCCTCTCTCCGCCGCGAATCCGACGAGCTCGAACGCGAAGGCGGGGACTCTCTCTCTCTCTCTCTTCGACCCGGATCGATTGTATCGATCTCGCCCCGTCGGTCGATCGATCGATACCTCGACACGGAGCGACCGATGACGAAGCAGAGCGTGGTGGTGCCGGAGGTGGCGGTGCCGATGCCGCCCAACTCCGCGCCGCTGCTCCCGTACCCGCCGCCGCGGGCCGCGCCGGGCGTCGCCGTGCGCAAGAAGTACCTCCAGGCGCAGCTCGACCTCGGCGCGGGCCTCCCGCTCATCAACGGATGGGTGGAGTCCATGCGGGCCTCCTCCCCCACCCACGCCAAGGCCGCCGCCGCGCTCGCCGCCGCCGGCGCCGTCGACGACGAGCGCGCCGCCTGGATGGTCCGTGCATTTCTTTTTCATCGATTCTTGCGTCGCCGGTGCATGCTCTGTTTTACTGAAATGGGCGCTGGTTGTCTCTGATCGGTGTGCAGGTGAGGCACCCGTCGGCGCTGAGCAAGTTCGAGCAGATCGTGGCGGCGTCCAAGGGGAAGAAGATCGTCATGTTCCTCGACTACGACGGCACGCTGTCCCCCATCGTCGACGACCCGGACTCCGCCTTCATGTCCGACACGGTAACCACCCACGCATCGAACACTTCAACCACACCGCCGTCCACGATCGAGCTCACTCAATCCCTCTCTCTCTTCTCCCTCAGATGCGGCGGGCGGTGCGCAGCGTCGCCAAGCACTTCCCGACGGCGATCGTCAGCGGCCGGTGCCGCGACAAGGTACACACATTATCCCCAATGCCATCCCAGGAGATCGGTGGGTGCAGCGCTATGTGCTGAGTTCAGATTCTTGCCGTGTCCGTGCTTCGTCAGGTGTTCGAGTTCGTGAAGCTGGCGGAACTCTACTACGCCGGTAGCCATGGCATGGACATCAAGGGCCCCGCGAAGGCCTCCCGCCACAACAAGGCCAAGGTGAGCATCCTCCACTGCCGCACTTGTCAACCACAGCGAGGAAAAGCAAAACTTATCTTTCTCTGCTTTTGCACCTCTGTGTGATTCTCAGGCGAAAGGCGTTCTCTTTCAGCCGGCTAGCGAGTTCCTCCCCATGATAGAACAGGTTAGAACATAGTACTACTGCTGCGACGCAATTATGCAAACTATAGCTGAAGGAGAAGTTTAGCTTTTTTTCTTTTAATTTTTGGGTTCGATCTGATGTTAAACTTGGTTAATTGTGGTGTGTATAATTTGTTAGGTGCACGATTCTCTGATAGAAAGGACCAAGTGCATACCTGGAGCCAAGGTGGAGAACAACAAGTTCTGTGTGTCTGTCCACTTCAGATGTGTCGATGAAAAGGTGCGGCACAACACAATTGTTTCCTTTCCTTTTCTTTCTCTTCCTTCCCTGCATCTACTACTACTAGCACCTGTTTTTTCTTTGGGTGTTAGTGTCTTAATTAGTGTGTGAGCCCCATCCTAAAATTGTCACTATTCAGCAGTAATAATTATTATTAGTACTATTAGAAAAAGAAGACATCAACTAATCATCAGCCTCTTCGATCTCCTTAATTTGTTTCTCTCTGTAACTAGATGATCAATTAACCGATTTCATGCATGCAGAGCTGGAGCACATTGGCTGACATAGTGAAGGCAGAGCTCAAGGACTACCCCAAACTGAAGCTCACGCAGGGGAGGATGGTGAGTTTTTTTTTTCTTTCAAATCTCACTCTCTTTTCTTTTCTTTTTTCTTTTTTTTTTTGTTTCTGCAGACATGTGTAGCCATCAATCGATTCTTTGCTAGGTAGAGATATATGCTTATTATTATTAAGCTTTGATATGTTGCGGCCGTGAGACGATCACTGAGTCATTGTCCTCCGATCATTGGATGCTTCTCCTGTAGGTGTTCGAGATCCGGCCCACCATCAAGTGGGACAAGGGCAAGGCCCTCGAGTTCCTCCTCGAGTCGCTAGGTAATGGAATTTTTTCTCTTTTTTTTTGTTCAGGCTTAATCTGTCGCCGTCGTTTTCTTCTTCCCTGGGCTTGGCACTGATTGTTTTGTGTGCTCGTTGTGAAACGAATAATAAAAATAATGCAGGGTTCGCCGACTGCACCAACGTGCTGCCGGTGTACATCGGCGACGACCGGACCGACGAGGACGCGTTCAAGGTGCTCCGCAAGAGAGGCCAGGGCATCGGCATCCTCGTGTCCAAGTACCCCAAGGACACCAACGCCTCCTACTCCCTGCAGGAGCCAGCCGAGGTAATGACCACCCCCCTTGCATTTCTTTCAATTTTTCTTTCTGATTTCTCATCTCAAAACTGTCAACACGTACATCACACAAAAATGTTCAGATTTTTTTTTAGAAAAGGAAACTCTTCTACTTTAAATAAATAAAAACGCAGTCGTCCTTATTCCATCCCCTCCTGATCACCTCATGTTTCTTCTTGGGTGTGTAACAATTATAGGATCCTATTTTATTATCAATCTACCCACCCAGCCAATTCACGATAATATGGGCTTAGCTCGTGCTTTATCTCAATCCACACATCCTGTAAATCCCAAATTATATGGTTTGGCCCGTTGTAAATCACTTCCAACTTTTCTATCGCATTAAAACTTTTTCTTCAAACTTCCAACTTTTCCATTACATTAAAACTTTTCTACACACATAAACTTCCAATTTTCCATCGCATCATTCTAATTTCATTAAAACTTTCAATTTTAACGTGAACTAAACGCACCCGTAGTAAAAGAGATGAAAAAGGAAAGGAAATACTAGTACACTACACTGTTATGTTCTACTGGCGCGGCGCTGCGCGCGCGTAGTTTTCCGGCGCGCGCGTCGCGGCTATTATTATTATCTTTAGTCGACGTCAATGCGCGCGAAGCTTTCGTTCCCGGGGACCACCGCGCGCCGCGGGGGACGGACAGCCGGCGCCGTCGGTGTCGACCGGTCGGTCGACTCGGGAGGGCGGCGCGGCCCGGCGTCCACCAACTTGTTTCTGCACTGCACCAGCACCACCGTGTGTTTTCTACTCCGGCTAAAATTTTTTTTTCTCCCATTTTCTTTTCTCTTGCAGGTGATGGAGTTCTTGCTGCGGCTGGTGGAGTGGGAGCGCCTCTCCCGTGCTCGCCCCAAGTGGTGATTTCGCCGACGGCTTCAACCCACATTTCCCGACAGCTATCTCTCTCTCTCTCTCTGCTACTGCTCTGCTCTGCTCCTAGGGGTTTTGGGTTAGGATCGGAGAAAGATTATTATTATTATTATTATCATCATCAAGGGTATTAGTAGTATATAAATATATGTAATTAAGGGGAGGGGTGATTAATTAGAGAGGGAGCATTATCTTTTAGTTATTATCGTAGCTCTCCTGTACACTGTTCTGTGTGCACACACTGACAGTGCGCGCGCGCGCGTCCTCTGGTTTTTTTGGGAGGCGCTTTGTGTTGGGTGGTGGTGGCTATGAGAAGGGGATGAAGAGTGTTGCTGTGTTTGGGCCTTGTGCTCTCTCGTCCTTTTTGGCTATGGTGGTTGCTATGCTACCTGGGTGGGTGCACAGGAAGGTGGATGGATTTGAGTGCTACCGTGTAATTGTATATGGCTTCTGATTATCTATGTACAAGAATATATATGATGAAATGAAGAGCATCAGAATATTACAGCACAAATGTCTCTCGTCCCCTCCCTTCTTACTCAATTACTCCCTTCGTTTAAAAAAAAAGACAACATAGTACTAGGATGCGATATATTTTAATACAATGAATCTGGACGTAGGGTATATCTAGATTCATTGTACTCGGATGTATCAATAATAGATTGTCTCTTTTTAGGATGGCAGGAGTACTTAAGAAGTTATAAATAGTTTAAAAAATACTCGATATAGCACTCAGCAAATTAACCTGTAAGTTTGAACAGCTATGGACAGGCGTGATGTGACACTCATATTTGTTATTTGTTTTTAACATGATCTTTTATGACACGTAAAATTGAGGAGATATCCTCAAGAGGAACCCCTTCTCTCTCAGCATGTCTTGTCTTGCGAGACAGATTTACCAAGTCCAGTTGTTAAAAGCTGGTTCCTGTTTTTACTGGTGTGATATGAAACATCAGTTCTCGTGTGCTTTCTGTGATAAGTTGCACATATCGTAAAACAGTGTTATTGATAGTGATATAGTAGTTCTTTCGCTGCCTGTGTTAGCTGTGATCAGTTGAGCTCAATAAGCCATAGAGAAATGAAGAGACTAAAAAAAAACTTGTATGTTTGAGTCATTATCAGTTTTAAAGCCAAGTCTGAAAAATTAACCACGATTAAAAAGACCCCTATATAATTAAGTTTAAAAATTTAAATTTTGGTTATGATTGATAAGTGAACTATTACAGAATGGTAGTAGCATATATTTATATACTACTAATACCCTTGATGATGATAATAACGGTTCAAATCTACAACAGAAGAACCGTGAATTATACTTACTACATGCAAAATTCTAATAGACAGAAGTGCTTGCAAACTGTTGATTTTACATGTCCCAATTTGTACACAATTTCAATAGACGTAATTATGATTCTTTTCCTAGTTTAATTACCCATATAATTGGAATCAGAGTGAGTATTACCATAGCATATCTAGGAAGATAGAGACACTGCCTCACTGCCATCCCCTGCCTATAACTCTCCTCGTATTACTGATGCTGCCTACACGATTGTGGTTTTTCTTCGTAAGGGTTCTTCATGTTAAGTCCGTTTCTCATGTTCGTCATTTGCTATATGATTAATTAATAAATAAACAATTTACACCTCCACAAAAGTTTGGCCATCAACATGAGGTTGATGGCTTTGGCCATCAACAAGAAGTTGATAGCTGTCATGGACATAAACCTTTTTTTTAATGGATCGTTAGAGAAAACCAGGATGTGTTGTTGGACCACACCCACACCAGTTACTAGCCAGTGTGCATTGTATGTTATCTACCCCAAAAGCTTTCATAAAAAGTGCCTCCTTTCTTGTCAGCATTAGTTTCTTTTTATACCCTGAGAATGATCTGTCCATTTGGCTAAGATATGATATATTCCTGAAAAGGATATTCTAGAAACTAGGTCAAGGTAGAGCGTTAATAATCAAAGTGAGATATTGACAAGCTAGTTGGCCAGCTAGTGGTATGTCAAGGCCAAGTACAAGTGGACTTTTCTGTCATGAATAGTTTTGTGTTCACGAACTCTCTAAGCTGCAAACTGTACCTTTGTATCGAGCTGCAATGTTGCAGATAAAGCAGCCCATGCAAACTGATCGAAGCTTCTACAGAACAGCATTGTCTGGGTTTGATGAGAGATTTTTAACTGGCTTTAATTTGCTCCTTGAATGGTCGTGGCTGCAGCAGGGTGATCCGGCGAGGAGGCATAGTGAACGGAGAAAGACGATGTGAGTAGCAGATGCTTCCAGGAAGTGACGGAGCCAGGATAAAATTATAGTGGAGGCTCCTCAGCATTTTAGGCATTCCAACAATCTTAGATAAAGTCTATTTTAGCCTCATTGCAATAGATATATGGATTTAAATTTTAGAGGGGGTCTTAATAAGAGCTCTAATGATTTATTAGGGGTAGGGGGGGTCTAAAGACCCCCCAGCCCCCACGCTGCCTCCGCCACTGCTTCCAAGAACTCTGCACTACTCTGCTGGACCAAGAGAGACACAAAGGCCCAGTTTGGCTAATGGGATAGAAAAATAATTTCTCACGCACCAAAAGATATCTTTAAACAATCCCTCTTCTATTTAATTCTAACCCTTCATTCATTTTTCAATCACAATCCCACTCTTCATTTCCAATTATTCAAACACACTAAAGTTTTTTTTTTAAACGGAAGACACAAGTTGTGGAGATATTGTTCTCCCAATACACGGTGCGTATGTGCAATGTGCCATTGGTTGATCCACAAAATTGACACTCCAGTGCCATAGTGAATTTGCTGGTGTCATAACGTACTAATTATAATTATACTTAAATCACGATATTATCTTCTACCAATAAGCACTTTAAGTACCCTGACTATTACAGTGTAGATCCGTCCCTGCAACGCGCAAGGATATAATTCATGTTCTTCTGACTTAATCGAGGGTAGATTATCGTGGTTATGCTCCCAGGCTATTAAATGATCAACAGATGGATCCCATCCCAAGAAGTGGTTGGTATAGATCAACTTTGTTTGGACATAACTCGTTTGGTATATGAGTCCAAGCACTGATGACGCTCTCTCGTGGCCCAATCTTATAGTAAGGGATTAAATCTTGCTTTGATAGAATATCATGTTGGTAAAGTTGTTATCAACCATAATAAGTCTATAACATCGTGCAATCACTACACCACAAATAATGTCGTACCAACCGTTATACATGGTTAATGATCATATCAATGCAAAAGATAAAACACTGCAAGAAGTAGGTAAATGCAATCTAAATATTACGAATCGGTAACTAAACACAAAGAAATAGTTACAATTGTAGATTTCAACCCGGAAGTCAACACACCAACTATTAGAGACTCGAAACTGTCGACTAGACGACCGAGGACTAAAGATAAGTTGAATGACACTTTGAAAATTCAACTATATAAAACCTAATCATTTTTAGGCTATTATAGAGGAAAAATAAAGCAAGGAATGTGTTCAGATTCATGGAGGTGGAGAGAGCCACTATAATTAAGAAAATAAAGCAAGAAATGTTAAGTACTAATTAATATGGTGATTTTGTGTAGTAGCGAGCTAAATGAGTAGCTCGTGAGCTGGCTCATTATAAGTTGATGAGATAAAAACCTAACTTAACTCTATCCATTATAATTACGAGTTCAAGTTGATCTGATCTGATATGAGCCACGAGCAACGGTTTCATTTTTCCATCACTATATGTTTGACTCTTTAAGTTCTATTGTAATATATCTTCAAGGGAAGGTAAAAATATTTTTTAAAATGTATTCATTTAGATATATCATTTTTGTGATCAAAGTAAATACATAGTACTCCAAGAAGATATTGAAAACACAACGCGTCTCCCTCGCACTGCTCTCACACGGACGGCTCGGGGGCAAAACCCTAGCCGCCTGTGCCGCCACCCCACATCGCCACAACTGCCTCGCCACCGCCGAAGCCTGCTGCCGGAAACCGTGCGGCCGGCCGGGAACATGGCTGTAGGGAAAACGCGCCGGCGGTAGAGCCTCTCCTCGGCTTGGGAGGAGAAGCAGCATTCGCTCAGCGGGAGGCGGCAGCCGGAGCGGCCGGCAGAGTGGATACGGCCGCGCTGGAGGTGGATCTGCCCCCCTCCCCCCTCCCCCCTCCCCCCCGGCCAGATCGGAACAACTCGAGGCGGCGGCGGCGGCGCGACAGCTGGCCTGGGAGACTCGCGGCGACAATGGTGACAAATCGAGGGTAGCCGGAGGGAGGAGCGACGGCGGTAGGCTGGCCAGCCGGTGACGGCGGAGACATTGCGCGTACAGAAGCATGGCCCGGGAGACGAGGGCTGGCGGAGGCTGCTCGCGGAGGTGGTGGCGTGGCCCAGGAGACTCGCGGCGACGACGGTGATGGCGGGCAGTCGGTGGGAGGAGCGGTGGCGGAGGCAGCGCGCGCACGGAGGAGCGGCTGGCGACAGCGGAGGCCGGTGAGGCGCGGCCGATGACAGCGGAGGCGGCTGCTGTGTGTGGAGGTGCGATCGAGGAGCTGGTGCGACACGACGAGGCTAGTCGGCGTGGAGGCGGTGGCCAGCGCAGCAGGAGGAGAGGCCGATAGAGGCGGAGCTTGGCGAGGCCGACCGATGGCAGCGTGCGGAGACTGGCCGGCGAGGGGGCGCCGGTGCAGTGGTACCCACGTGCCGGCGGAGGTTTAGATGGCAGTGGAGCAATGGTGCATCAGTGGTAGATCGACATGCGGTGGACAGCGGTTGAAAACCCAGACCGGCCTTGGCTAGACTGGTAATGATGGCATTCGAGCGTCAATCCCCTTCTGAGGGCGTTGTCGTGCTGTCTCACCCCCTCAAGTGGGGCTGCTGGGTGAAAGCCCAGTCTTGGTTCTCTTTGGGACCTTGACGGACGGCGGCGGTGGTACTTTCGTCGCTTCTCTCCTTGGATACGACGTCTAGGCATCCCCTTGCCGAAACCTCCCAAGCAATTGATGCAAGCTCACTCTAGATTCATATCCTCTTGTGGCGGCGCCCTAGCTTCTACAAGTCGGCCACGTTGGAGGGCTTAGTGGGGAGAGCGGTTCCATTCTTTTCTCTCACCCTCTCTCCCTCAATCCCAAAGATTTGGATATATCGGAGTTTTGTATTGGTTGTAAGGGTCGGGTTTTGGGCGATCTCGGCTGTGTACCGTTGTTGGCCTAGCGGCGGTCGGTCACGCTTAGCGGCGGCCGGTCCGGTGCTAGCCTTCTCCTGGGTCTGTTTGTTGGAGTTATCGGTGTGCGGATGGTGGTATACTTTTTTCGTTTTCCTGGTACCGACCTCACAAGGTTGTAATCTTGAAAATATTTCCTGCTCTCTTAATAAAACTTCGCACTGTCTGGTGCGACCGTGCGAGTCGGTAAAAAGAAAAAAGTAAATATACATGGATGTTTTACGGAATGGTAAAATAAAGTTCATTTGTGTCTACTAAAAAGTCAGATTTTGGTTACGATTCGTGTTAACCATCCA